CTGAAGGCTGATCAGGTTGTCTGACTGTATTAGTTTGATCAATGCTTTAATAATGGGAGTATTGATCAGTGGCTGATCAGGCAGCTGTTGAACAGCAGCAGAAACTTCATCCTCCGATAAAGATCAAAAGGTTGGATCAATACTGAACATGAACAGGAGCGTTGGATGGTTTTACTTATTAAACTGACAGCAGTGTATCATCTGTACCAACTGGCTCTCGTCCATATTTCTCCCCACAGTTCACGGACCGCGACCGACCCTACGGACCCTCTGTGGCGTCTTCAGTCGGGACCGAAGGAGCCCGAAACAGCTTGTGACTCCTCTCCAGCTCTTGACCTCTGACCTCTCACCTCCGTACAGTTTGTTTCTCGTAATCTGTGGAGCTTGTTTTACCGCCGACCTCGCTGTGAGTCACCGAGACAGACGACGAAGCCAAATGTGGAAGCAAAACAAACATCTTAATGATCTGAAACTTCCTGACGAGGACACCGAGACAGGAGGAGAAGAGGAGATAAAGAGGAAAAGCGAGGATGGAGGAGGATGTAAAGCGAGATGTAACGTGAGAGACAGAGGTGCGAGTTAATGTGTCCATCTCTCTGAGTGTGTGTGCAGTCTATTTATCCATCACAGAGTGTGTGTGTGTAAGGCGATTACAGATCTGGAAGCTTTGGTTACATTCCCCTCTCTCATCCTGCCATCCTGCCCGACCAAACGGCGGTGGGTTTGATGGTTTTAGTGCCTCCCCGCTCGATGCAAATCTCATCACCAGTTTTTAGACACGAACGCTGGGAAGCGACAAACAGAAACCGGAGAGAGGCCGCATTAACGCCGCCGCGGCTCCTTCAAGAAAAGAAAAAGGAAACCAGAGGCTGAAAATATGGCGTCGGGTTTCAGCCGTTTGGAAAATATCCTCAATTTGATCAAAAATTTATAATGTGACTTTTAGAGCAGCTTGGGTTTCCTGGAGGCTGCTGCTGCACATTATACAGCTCCTTTAATGTGGTTAACACACTTAAACACACCGCGCTGCCCTGCACTCTGTGTGTGAGTGCAATATGAGTCTGCATGTGTGTGTGTGTGTGTGTGTGTGTGTGTGAGAGAGTGCAGCGCTGTAAAAACGGATTAAAATTCATAATTTGAAAGGACAACAAGTTTCAACAGATTCTGGATGAGAGCTTTAAAGGAACAGTTGAAATCATTTAAAAAATATATTTCGTGTGGAGATACAAGTTGTTATTCTACTAAATACGACGTTAAACTGAGTCCGTTGTGTGTTTCAACTCTATAGTTTATTAATTTTGTGTATGCGAGACATTCTCGGATGTACGCTGTAAAAACTGTCAAACAATGACAGCAAAAGACTGTAAACTGTAAATAGGTTAAAGTTTCTGTAACAGTAAAACTCTGTGATATCTGATGGCAAAACCTTTATTTATACGACATTTTAAAGGAATTTATACGGAATAAAGTTGTTTTTTTTATATTACGGACTGTAAATTAAACAGGAAACCACCGTTATAGCATCATATGGTAAAACTGTTTCTGTTGATGGTAAAAACTTGTATTTATCCAATAAAATCTGTAATAAAACTCAACACTACTAATATCCTTTTACTGTAATAGTAGAGAATTTTTTACCGTAGCTGCCAGTTTTTTACCGTAAAAATAACGTACTTTTTTTACAGTGTAGATTCACAATCTAAGAACACGCCGTGAGTTTACTGCACATACTCAACTGCCCCATAATGCACTGCGTCTCTTCTGACTGGTCAATGGCAGACTGCGAGGGTTTCACTCTCTTCGTGCGTTATTTAGTTATTGAGAATATTTGAGTTGAGAAATAAACGAATATCAGCGGTTTTATTAATACTGATGGAGAAACATTGTTATGATGAAATTTACATCATAGGGGTCTCGCACATGGCTCGACCACGCCCCCTCGACCGTTATGGACATCGGTACGTGCGGGTATCATGACGACACGCCTCTCTGACCCAACAGGAAGTCGCCCATTTGGAATTTCTGGGATATTTACAGCGATTATTTGTCGTATTTGAACAAACTCCTCGTAGGGAATTGATCGGATCCACTTCAGATTTAGTCGGGGCAATCTAAAGATCATCACCATGAAAAGCTCTTTGTGCCGAACGGCGAGTCCGTGGCATCAGATTCCAACGCCATGAAACAGTTGGTTGTAACAACTGCAGTGCACTTTGTCCAATCTCAACTAAACCTCACGTGTTCTATTAGAACTCATCTACATGCCAATATTCAGTCACACTCATAGCGCCACCTGCTGGAAACAGGAAGTGAGCCACGCCATCGTGATCTGATTTACGTGGTATTTTCATGGCGTGGTCTACACATACTGGATGGCCGCAGCACGCCCTGATGCACGCGGACTGCGAGGGGCCCGATGATGGCTGCTTCATTATTTTAAATCAGTTTTTTCTAGTTACAGGTTTCTTACGCGTCCTGGAAAACCTGGAAATTTAGAGAGTAGTTTTCCAGTCGTGGAAATTCCTTAAAATGAGCAAATATTCTGAAATAATTCTGGAAAACTTTGCGTGTTAGTGTTAATGAACCTGAACTCTCCTGAAGGAAGAAGGTTGGGAACCAGTGAGTTAAAGTATTATGTATAATGTGAATGAATAAATGTATTGATTGTGTCTCCTCACATCTGAAACCAAACTTATAGATCTGCTTTAAAAACAAACTTTTTCTTCCTCTCAGCGTCTCGTTCTCTCCTTCGTGGCTCCGCCCTCTCCTCGTCTTTACAGATACGATTCTTTTTCTTCAGCTTTCTCTTCTTTCTGTCCTTCCATCGTCTCTCTCTCTCTCTCCCTCCCTCCCTCTCGCCGCCGCTGTGTTTATGTTTCACTTCATATCGAGTTGTTCCTCTGCTGGTATCAATATTGTTCGCTGCCTACCAATCAATAAGCAGGAATAAAAACTTTACCGACCCAATCAATTACGCCCACTTCATTTTCATAACTCGACTCCATCGTCCTCGTCGCCGCGACAACAGCCCGATGATCTGGACGCTCTCCTGGGACACGTGCTCCTCCCTTCCCCTCCCTCCCTCCCTCCCTCTCTCCCCCCCCCTCCGGTTGCATTAAGTCCAGAATTGTTAACGAGGTATCGGATTCTGCGATGATGGACGCTACAACGAGACACTTTGAGAAAAATCTGAGGCCAGATCGGTTTACGTCTAAAACGACGGGATGGGATCAATAACAATATTTTCCCTGGAAAACAGAAGCCTCTTCCCCTCCATAATCCCCCCCCTCCACTTTAAGAGCCCCTCCACATTCATTTTTAATGGCTAAGAAAGGAGCGGGGGGGGCTAGCAGGTTGCACGGTTAGCGGCGGCAGCGGAAGGCTAATACACCGACAGCTGTGCCGTGTGTGCCGGGGCGAAGACGCCGTTTGGGTCCGCGGGGGAGGAGAGGGGAGGTCAGTGTCAGCGGCTAATTGGTTCCTTGGCAGTGACACTCGATCCGGCTGATCCAATCAGAGGAAGCCTGAGACAGGATGGAGACACGGAGAGTTTCGGGGGTTTGGATGAAGTACAAACATCTCGTAATGTGATGAAATTCAAACTGCAGCCTCAGAAACGACCACAGAGTTCAATCAGCTCCCGGCTGACGTCATCCGAAGTGCTCGAGTACATCCAAACAGCCGAATCACGATCAATATGCTTCCCAATAATAATAACAATAAACCCAACAGACAACTCAACAGCGCGTCTAATGAAAGATTGAGATCCCCTCATCAATAAATCACATAATAACTTTTACATTGGTGTATTAAATATTGATCACATGACTCGAGTTTGTTCCGCTGACTCATTTTTATTTAGTATTTAATTACAAAAATCCTATTTGGATAATCAATTAATTCTGTTTTTATCTGCTGTTTTAATAATTTGCGTAGTGAGTAAATTAAACAGAAGAGTTAATATTTGTTGGGTTAAGTATGAATCCATTCAGATCAATTCTACGCATTTCAAATTCTGCATATGAGTATAATTAACTTAATTTACCAGATCAATAAACAGTAATTATTAACTGTATCATCAGCTATCAGTAATCAATAACATTGGATATAATATAAAATATATGTCATTTAGTCAGTTAATTAGTTATTAATAGTAGAAAAGGGAACCACAGGATTAAACTACCAAGCAGTAAATAAAGATAAATGTATATATATATGTATATAATAATAGATGTTACTCTATAATTATTATTTTACTTGTTGCTCGATGTGGTAAAAACATCATTCTGTGATTATTCAGATGAGATTTCTGATTATATTTTTATCACAAATTTGATTTTCACTGTAAAATCTTTTAAAATCCTGATGATATAATATTTCTGTAGCAAACAAACGTGATTCCTTAAATGTATATTATATTATAATGCTGTTTTAATAACATTTTACCTTTATTAATGAATATTAACTGAATATTGCCCATAATATTGTGAGTAATTGTGCAGCCCCATTAGTTATATAGTAATAATATTTCTGCTACTCCCCACATATTAATTATTGTGTCCTTTCTCCCCAAAATTCAAATAAAATAAAGGTTTTTTTCTTTGTTAAAATCAAATGAATGTGAATATTTCAGCTGCTGAACGTTTTTAAATAAAATAGGTGGATGTTGTACCTAATTATTTAGGAGTAACTGTAATATTATGAGTGAAATGTAACCGTAGTTATCAGGAGTAAAGGCTCCCTGCTGTCACAGATAATAAAGATATTTAATGTCGGCAGATCTGAAGCAGCGAGGCGTGAAAACATCTTGAAGTTGAGTTCAAAGACTCGAAGAGACTCTTGAGTCTGTCAGCCACTCGACCCGAGCCGGAGCTGTGATGAAGAGGGGTCAGTCGCTCACACACAGCGGGTTTAACCTCTGCTGTGTTTCCCGTCTGCGGGGTCACGAGCGGGATTAGCCCTCTGATGCTGTGGTGACATCATCACTTCCTGTTGGTCAGCTGACTTCACACTTCACATGAACGGAGGAGACAGGCGGGTCGGATCCTCCAAAGGACTCGACCCGCAAAGGTTTGACCTCCAGACGACCCGACGGATGAAGCCGCTCATCTCGGACGAGACGTTCAACCTCAAAGAGATTTAAATAACGGGTTCATTCAAGTGCTCCTGAACGCACCATTCAGAGCAAAACTCAACTTTAAACTTTACTGACATTAACTACAAACTCAACTCAATGAAACTTAGTTTAAATTAACTCAACTAGAGTCGGAGAAAGAAACTAAACCAAAATAAATTAAATTAAACTGAACTTTTCTCTTAATTTAATAAACTGAAACAAACTAAAGTCAATATAATCCCAACTAATTAAACTAAACTAAACCCAAATAATTAACAAATAATACTCTAAACTGAATAATAAACTTTCATTGTGTTGATTATTGCGGACAAGAGTGGTAGTGTTTGTTTCTGTAGGTCACACAGCATTAAACTGAGACTGTTTATAACCAGATAATAACTCATTTTAATTTAAATTAACTCAACCGCATCTAAACTAAACTCAACTAAACTAAACTCAAACTAAACTAAACTCAAACTAAACTCAAACTAAACTAAACTCAAACTAAATGAAACTTAAATTAAATTAAAGAATTCTTGTGAATGATTCATTAATTTTTCGTCCAAACACACCTGCGACCTTCGCCGAGGACGGCTCCGCCCCCCACACTTTGACTGACAGGTGTGGTCTGACACAGGAAGTGATGAAGAGGAGGGGCGTGGCAGATCCTCTCGTCGTCTGATGTCGTGGTGATTCACAGTCTGAGCCACAAAATGGCTTCCTGCTGCAGCGGCGCTGTCAGCAATTAGAGCGAGTTTAACACGTCTTTGTCTCGCTGCAAATTACTGTTCACAGTCCTATTAATTTACTCTGAGTGTGTGTGTGTGTGTGTGTGTGTGTGTGAGTGTGTGTGTGTGTGTGTGTGTGTGTGTGTGTGTGTGTGTGGTGTGTGTGTGTGTGTGTGTGTGTGTGTGTGAGTGTGTGTGTGTGTGTGTGTGTGTGTGTGTGTGAGTGTGTGTGTGTGTGTGTGTGTGTGTGTGTGTGTGAGGAGTTCAGTTTCCACCAGTTGTGTGCAGCAAGTTGTCTCAGTTCAGTTGCTAGAGCTGGTTTCTACTGCAGGACCTTGAACACATCGTAGATATAAAGTATAAAGAGGCGTTCAGGGACACAGAGATAAAGTAACTGCTCCTTTAACAGTTTCATACAATCTGGTTCTGGCTGGTTCCATTATACCTCGGTACCGGTCCGATGAGAACGGGTCCAGTCACATTATGAGGTCACCTGAAGGTTTATTGATTGTTGATTGTTTACTTTTACACCTCAGTTATAAACAATCATATTTATTCCTGTTTACATTTCAGAGCCTGAACTTCCTGACCGAGGGTTGCTCAACTCTGATTGGAGCAGAGAGCAAACGGGGGGCGGGGCTTAAGAAGCGTGTCAATCATCACATTTTTATTTAAAGTAACTAAAGCGGTCAGATAAAAGTAATGGAGTAAAAAACAGGAAGAAAAGTACCTCAAATATGTAATAAAGTACAGTACTCGAGTAAATGTTCATTGAGCAGTCTGTCTCGCCCTCTCCTCCCTCGTTCTCTCCCCCTCTCCTCCCCCTCTCTCCATCCTTCATTCAATCTGTGACACCAGCTTCTCCCTCTTTCTCCCCCTCTCCAACATATTTCTCTCCCCCTCTCCTCCATATTTCTCTCCCCCTCTCTTCCCCTCGTTCTCCCCCGTTCTCCCCCGTTCTCCCTCGTTCTCTCTTGTAATTGCGTCAGTTTATTTTTCTCTCTAATATTTCTCCTCCATAAAGTGTCTCATTAAAATTAATCACAGGCTGTATTATATCGCTACCTGCGGTGAAAAGTGACAGATTTGCCGATTGCTGCCGTTCGGTGAAGGAGGCTGAGTGTATGTGTGTGTGTGTGTGTGTGTGTGTGTGTGTGTGTGTGTGTGGAGGGGGGTGTGGGGGTGGGGGGGGGGGGTCAAAATGGCGTCGCACTCTGTTTCAAAATCACTCCTGAGAAAAGAAAAATCATCAGGTTCATTTGCCTTTTTTTAATTTTACACATCAGTAAATCATCATCATCTTCCTCTTCCTCCTCTTCCTTTTCCTCCTCTTCCTCACAGGTGTTCCCAACTGAAGCGCAGAGTAACTGTAGAGGAAAAAATAATAATTTAATTAGATTCAATTTAATCTTTTGGGGAAAAAAGAAATAAGATTTTGATGGTTTTACAGATTTTAGTGAGTCTGAAGGTTCAATGGACAGTTTACATCGATTCTCTGATTATTTCTCTTTCACATCCAAACAAACGTACTAACTGTAACTGAATCCGATCAGAATCCAATCGATCAGGTACAAACATACTGTGATTAGTGGCAATGATCATTTTTACAGCACAAATTTAATTTCCACAAAAAAAACCTACCACGAAAACCATGTGAAATATTTTGGTGTCTGAATCCCCCGAACGCCTCATAATTATGACTTTTTATCTCTCAAACGGTGGCGGAGACAAAATGTTAACACTTCTACACGTTAGCACCAAACTCCCTTTAAGAAATATCACATTTTAACAATTCCTAACGTGTTCGTAACAACACGTAACTCTAGAAACACGAGCTAAAGGCCGTCATATGTCCACAGTCTGACTGTCAATACAGGATCAATAGAGTTAGAGATTCATTCTGTCTGTCTGTCTGCCTGTCTGTCTGTCTGTCTCTCTCTCTGCGGACTCTCTGAGGTTAAACCTTTGAAAAAGAAGAAAGTAAAGAGGACGAAGAGGCTTAAAGTCTTTTAGGAACAAACTGTTTAACCTCCGCTGACCTGCTGACTCTGATTAAAGGAAAATTTCACCTTTTTCTCCTGTCGACCTGCTGTTCGCCTCGCCGGCCTCTTAACCCCCGATCACCTCCACACACACACACACACACACACACACACACACACACACACACACACACACACACACACATACACAACTGAAGGCTCAGCAGGTAGATGTGTATTTGTTGTGTGTGTTTGTTGTGTGTGTGTCCTGCCGTGCGACTGACCTGCTGATCGTCCGCAGCACTAATTAGCAGCTTTGTCTGTCTCACCGCTGGCAGCCCAGCTCCGCCTCTGATTGGCTGTGAGGAGGAAGTAAACACACACACACGCTGAGAGGTTGAGGGTGAAAACAGCAGCTTTGTTTTGGAGGAAATGAGTTTGTCTCTTTGTGTCCATTAAACTAAAGAGGAGGTTTGTGTTTGCAGGTGAGCTGTTGTTTCCGCACTGTCAGCCAACAGAGCGACAGCGAGCGGCCTTTACACGCTCACACAGGCTAACCTGCACATGTTGGGAAATTAGCAGGATTAGCATTAATAAGTACATCATTGGATTATTGATTATTTAATTTGTAAAATGTGGTATTTCTTAAAGGGAGTTTGGTGCAGGGAGGTTGAATTCAAACTGCTAATATGGATCATTTTTTATGTTTTGTCTCCGAATTTTGAGATAAAAAGTTATTATTATGAGATATGAAGTCATTATTTTTAGATAAAAAGTTATTATTATGAGATATGAAGTCATTATTTTTAGATAAAAAGTTATTATTATGAGATATGAGTCATTATTTTTAGATAAAAGTTATTATTATGAGATATGAAGTCATTATTTTGAGATAAAAAGTTATTATTATGAGATATAAAGTCATTATTCTCAGTTAGCGTTAGTTAGCGTTTGAGGGCAGACCTGTGTGGACACTCGGGTTCAGCTCTGGGTTCTGAAATGAATCCTTTATATTGATGTATGAAGTTCTGGTCGGCGTGTTGATGTTGGAAATACCTGTTATGGTTAATAATGTTCAGCTTTGATATTACTCTGTGGTTGACCTGAAGCTCTGTACTTTGGTTATTAATGATTCACTGATCAGTTTAGAGAATTAATTAATTAATTTATTTTATTGAAGTTTAGTCTGAAAGTAAATGTTTCCATTTGTTTTCTTTACAGTTTATCAACCTTTAAAATAAAAAGAGACATTTTCATGTTTTAGAGAAAGATTCATCTTTTGTGTCTTTTTATTAAAAGAATTAAAAACCAACAAGATAACTTTTTGTTTTTATTATAAATAAACTGTAAAACCTGACGAGTCAATTCAACTGAAACACTTCAAATTTATTAACTCCAACAATTTAAGCATGAAAAAATATCTGATTTGAATAATCAATAAAGTAGTTAATTAATAATAGTGAGTAAATTACTCTCATCTGCAGCATTTCTACAAACTTATTTAAAGTGTCACAGAATTTATCGGAATAAAGTCACTTAAATTAATCTTCTTTATACAAATGTTGTGTATATGTTGTTATTATTATTATTATTATTATTATATAAAGTCGACTTAAAGAAACTGAGTCAGTGGAACAAAATTCCACTCCAATTTTGGGTTTAATTCACATGAATGACATTTTATAAGATAAAGTTACTTTAACTTACTTTTAACTTTTCTTATTAAACTAAAGTGATTTACAGTTTGTGACATTACACTGTAAAACCAGATACGTTCATTTAACTGACCTAAACTCATTTTTTAAGGTTAAAAAAGTAATTTTAAGTGGCACAAACTTGTAAGTTACATAAAAATAAACTTTAAAACTTTTCTTGATTAATAACTTTTTACTGTGAATTTTTGTTTTTACAGCACAAATAAATTCCCACTCAAAATAACTAAAGTAATTTAATCAAGATTGTTTTTCTTTAAGTTATAAAAGTTAGTTTTACTCTAAAAGTTTGATGTAGTTTCAGTGAGTTAAGTGAACGTATCTGTTTTATAGTTAAAGGTTTATATATTTATAAATGTCTGTCCCACAGCTGACTGATCAGCTGAGAGTCCTGATTCTGGTCCTGATTCTGGTCCTGATTCTGGCTGTAAGACCTCCCGCTGTCTCATTATTTGTTTCTCTTTAGTGCAGCTCCACCTGTAGCCCCTCGCAGGGTCCCCCCTCCCCTCAAAGCCGTGTATTCGGGGGTTAAGTCCACAGCCCGCCGGGTGTCTTGTCGCCTTTTGTGCTGGTGGACAAAGCTCCGTCCCGCCGTCCCTCTCCGGCCCTTCAGAGGGACAGTGGAGCGAGGCGGCGACCCCGAGACGAGCTGTCAGCGTTTGACGAGGTCGCCTTTCAGACGGGGAGAAAAACATTCGTCTGACGTCCAAATACCAAAACCATCATCATCTTCATCTTCATCTTCTTCGTGAGAGGGGCAACGGAGGAAAGACTTTCTCACCACGAGAAAATACTCGAATATCCAAAGTTTTAAGGTTTTATCTGGATACAAATTCTCCGTATTTGGTAAGAAGTAAAAATAATAAAACTTTATTTAAAGCTCCAGCGTGGAACGAGTGTTTGTTTGTGTTTAATCAGCTGATGACACAGAGGCGGAGTCCGCCATGTTGAACAGCCATGTTTTCTACAGTAGCTCAGAACAGACAAACATAGAGACTTTCGCCGTCTCCGTAGTTTCTCCTGATTCATGTTTTTCCCTCTGAGACGTAAAAATTCAGTTTAAAGACGTTTAAAACAGAAATATTCGAGTTAATGTTCAACAAAAGGTTTTATTTTTACTTCCCGGTGTTGTTTTGTTCGTATTTATCTTCCGTACAAACACAATCACTTTAATATTCACAGACTTGGAATTTGAACTTTGTCACTTTTGTGCCGCGAACTTCAGACGTTTAAATAAAGTCAGAAAAGAAAAAGAGAGAAAACAGGATTTGAGAGGAGGAATGTCCCACAGAGAGTTCGTTAATCCTCTTACTGTCTGTTAACCAGCCAGAGCTACACTAATCCTCCACAGACACCACAGAGGAAGAATAACAGAGGAGCTGCTGGGGGGGGGGAGAGAGGGAGAAAGGGAGAGAGTGGAGAAGGAAAAGAAGAAATGGAAAAGGTGGGAAAGAGTAAGGGAGCAAGGAATGAGGGAGGGAAGGAAAGACGGGAGACGAAAGAGGGAGTAAGTGAGGAAGGAGGAAGGTAGAGAAGGAAAAGAGAGGGAGGTTGAATAAAGGGAAAAAGAAGGAAGGAATGAGGGGGAGGCAGAAAAGAGGAAGGAAGGAAACAAGGGAGGGTAGGAGAGGAAAGGGAGGAAGGGAATAAAGGGGGGAGGAATAAAAGAGGGAGGAATAAAGGGGGGAGGAATAAAGGGGGAGGACTCCTCTTCTCCTCACCTTTCCTCTACATATCCTCTCTTCTTCCCCTTCCTCCCCCTCCCCTCCTCTTCCTCACCCAGCGTGAGGCCTTGTGGGCGTTCAGCTGATTTCCTTCGCCAGCTCCTCGACTCTGATCCATCGGAAACCAAATTTACGGCACCACCGAAGAAGAAGACGCCGCCGCGGCGGTCGCTAAAGATACCTCCCGATCGGAGTGGAGAGGAGGTGAAGAAGAACAGATTTGGCTGTCGGCCCTCAGAGTTTCGGTGTTTGATGTGACAGAAGTTAAATTTACTCTCAGCCGCTGAGGTGTAAATATAGACGAGGTTTGGCTCGCCGCCATTAAAGCTTCACTG